TCTTCCAGTCAGTTGGCCAAGTGCTTGTAGTGTTATTATATCTGGAGGAAAATTCTTCCACTTTGCAAATCACTTTTTGTCAATGTGCTATATGAGGTAACCTGGGTTTGCTATGATGCTGAACCTTGTGCCATGGTATATCAAATACTAGAATGGTTTCTCATTGTGAACAATATTTGGTGGAGCTTCCAGTTGTAAAACAAGTTGGGAAGCAAAAATAGCATCCATTTCCTTAACGACATGCCTCTGGAAACTCTGTGAACTTGGAGAAACAATGATAGCTATGGAAAGGCATTAGGTCTTTAGTTCATAGAGTCGCTATAAGTCGACCTCGACTCAATGGCAATCAACAACAACATATAGTATATAGAATCAACACTAACAGAGTCACTCTTTATTCTCCTGTAACCAGGGAAGCAGATGACACAAAGGAGAAGATTGAAATGAAGTGTCAGGCCCTCAGTGCTGCTGATCCTGGCTCAGACCTGCTCAGCGTTCAGGCCCTTCAACGACAGCATGAGGCCTTCCATCGAGACCTCCTGCCTTTGGGGGAAAAGGTGAGCTTGAATGTGCTTCTAGACTTTTCTAAATCTTTCCTCTAATGCTTAGATCTACCAGTGTCTTTCTTTAATATTCTTCCCCAGCTTCTTGGTCTTATACTTTATTTTACTCCATACTTGTTCTATCAGTTCCTTAAAGCAAGGTCACAGAAAGGACATAACTCACAACCATTATTAACACAAAGGGGAGCAAGGCTAAGAGAAAAAAAAAATCTCAGCTCACATGATAATTCTATGAAGAAGTAAAAATTTCTAGATAACCTTTCTCTACTGCTCTCTTTTTGTAAAAAATTTGGTGTTATCGATTTTTCACTGCTTCTAACAATTATTATGTAAATTCAAAAGGTTAGTGATATTATCCTACAGAGTAATGAGATGTGCATTTTATATATCTGATGTCTAAATTTAAAGACAGAAAGACATGTACTAGGGCCAAGACCTTTTCTTCTGCTGGGACTTAAGTGTGATTAGAATCTAATTACTATAGGTTTGTAGTTTGATGGTCAGAGCTCTTGTACCTTCCTAGGTGACCAATCTGGGGGAAACAGCAGAGCGACTCATGGAGTCCCATCCAGATGCAACTGAGGACCTGCAGAGGCAGCGGCAAGAGTTGAATGCTGCCTGGGAAGACCTGTTGGGACGTACGGAGGATCGTAAGGAGAACTTAAATGAGTCCCAGAAATTCTACCTCTTCCTCAGCAAGGCCAGGTAAAAGCAAAATATAGACTTCCCCAAGTGTGGGCCTGAGCAGAGCTTATAGAAAAATGCTAAGTACTACTCACTTCTGGGTGTTAAGAACAACACAGAGTCTGGTTCTTGTAAAACACCAACAAATGGGATGTCCCAAACAGCAAAGCATCAAATATTGAGTTGAAAGAATTGTGACTAAGTGTTAAGCAAGCATCTTTTGCATGGACAAAGTATGTATATGTATATTTATATGTATAAAGTATTATGTTAGGGGTTGCAGAGACAAGAACTTCACATTGGTTGAAGAGATAGAAACAAATACAGAGAATCATGAAAGAACATAATATGGTCCCAAATGTGAATCCTAATAAACAACAGAGGGAGCTCAAAAGTGGAGAGAGCATGTGATGGATTATAGATAAAGTAACATGTTATCATGCTTTACCAGTCTTATAATTTTAACAAATGGGACAGAAAAAGGATTTACATATGTAGAGAAAGTTATGCAAAGGAAACCACAAATAAAGACAGAAAGTTTTTCATAGAATAGGGACAGCTCAAGAATACTTTGTATATCAGTGAGTAAGAAGGAGTAGCAGGAAAGAAAATTTTAAAGGTTAGGATCAAATGCTGGAGCATTTTGAATGCTGTGTTTAATAACTTAAAGGTTGTTCCAAGCAAGAAGCCATGAATAAGCAAAGCACTCCTTAAAAATAGAAAAAGGTAGGAGGCATCTCACTCCCTGATTTCAAATCCTACTACACTGCCATGGTGGTTAAGACAGCATGGTACTGGTACAATGACAGACACACAGATCAATGGAATACAACTGAGAACCTGGAAATCAGCCCATCTACCTATGGTCAACTGATTTTT